TTTTGAAAAACTCCCCCCCCCCCCCAAGTGAAGATATATATGTTAAAACGGATAAGTTGGGTCACCTTCTTTTTGGCTTCGGCCAAATACTTTTTTTCGCTGGTCGAGCTTTTTACTAAAAAAAAAAAAGAAAAAAAAAGCTATGTTGTGCATTAGCTCCCCCCATCATAGATGGTTCAATGACGTCGGGTGCCATGAAATGATTAAGAACTATGACGGGTCGAAATGAATTTTGTGCTTTATAATTAATAAGTATTGCATGAACGAATAATTCAAGGAAGGGCGGACGACAAAGAGGGTTCTTTTAAGTAGATGACTCGTCGGGCGGTTAGAACGGGACTTTTTTGGAAAAAAAAAGTTAAATAAGTTTATTTTCTGAAAGAGCTGTCATTTTCTATCAGGAACGCTATGTCATTTTCAATCCCAACATAATTATCAAAATGTGAGTGAAACACATAAAAAAGGGACTCATTCAAGTCAGGTAAGATGTCATAGAAAGATGATTTGGAGTAATAACTAACTAAATGTATAGGTCAAGAACTCGTCTCTCTAGTTTCGTCTTATTTGAACCGATGAAATAGAAATTTAAATATTGCCATATGCCATATGAAAGAGGTGGAATGAATATTGAAAAGCTCAGTAACTACAAATCAATATAAACAAAACTGTATAACAAACATTTGAAGGAGACAAAGAAAACACAACTGTACTATAGAATCATGAACAAATTAAATCTGTCATATCTATTAATTGATTTACTTATATAAAAGTCTTACTAAAACTACTCACCAAGTAATGACAAAGTGTAAGTGTTCCTTATTGGATCAGTCTTCCAACTAATAACTGTATTGAATAAATAAAAGGTGATGTTGGAGTTAACTTGCGCACATTTTAAGTAGTGATTTCTATTTTGGAGGAAGAAATAATATCGACTAGTTTTTTTTTATGATAATAATATTCGGGTTAGCTTGTGCGCATCTTGACTATTTTATTGAATATTTGTTTCCTCTGATCCCATCATGACATGTACCGAATATTTCTGAGATAAAATGAAATTAAATCACATAATATTTTTAACTCCGCTATCATTTGAAAATGAGGTAAGTGACACCTAATTAGTAGAATACTTCAAGAGGACGCAAACCTCTAAAATTTTCTTGTCTGGCTACTTTAACATAGAGAAAATACTAAAAGATCTCTTCACTTTTTTTCATTTCTTAAAAACCTGAATCCCCATACTACCTTTAATTTATTTTAACTTGTTTCAGTCTTTGAGATAAGGATATCAAAACTTCCTTCCTTTTTATCCTGTACCCTTATCACTTTTGAAGTGTTGGGCTGTTGGCAGTTGCGGATCTAGTATGTAATATACGGGCCTAATGCGAAAACAAAAAAATGAGGTCTTAATTTTTTTTGTACTCTTATAATTTATCGAAATCTAAAGATGATATAATCAGTTTTAATTATTGTCAATGTCTAACCAATTTGTTTAATCTCTCTTGTGTTATTATGTTAAACTTTACTGATTTAGTTTTGAAAAACTTTTTCAACCGAGGTAAGTGATATAGAAATTGGTAACGGTAATTGAATTAACACTTTTTACCTGATTGAGTTTTCAATTAGAGTATTCTTCTACATATACAATGTCTCTTAGCACTTTTAATTCTAAATATAAGTTGAAACAAATAATATTGTAGTAACTGCTATGTCTCAAGATTCATTCAATGTTAAGGATGAATTTTAATAGTTGCTTATCAAAGTAGCTTGAAAAATATCTAAAAAGGCACTCAAAAAATTAAGATTTTTTTTATAAACTAACAGTGTAAGAAGATCAATTTAAGTTGGGATGAATTAAAGACAGGAAATAACAAGTATCTACAATTTAAGATGTGTATAACTTTTAGCTATAACTATTTTAACCAAATGATTTAAAAAATCTATCAATATTGCATAATTATTAAATATTATATATATTATTTATAGATTTTGGGGGCCTAAGGCCATTGCCTTAGTGGCCTTAGGCTCCAGCCGGCCCTGGTAATATATGGATTCACGTAAATTTAATAATTTTTTCTCAAATTGTATATACGAATTAAGAAATTCATTAAATATCTATAAATATCTGACTATGAATTTAATTTTATTATATATTAATTTAAAATAATTGTAGGAACCTACAAATTTTAAATTCTGAATCCGTCTTTGCGTGCTGAAAGATTAGGATATAGTTACAATTGGAATTTGTTGCAACTTACAACTGTTCCTTTAGAGTTAAGTGATTTTATTGTTCAACTTCCTTTTCTTGTAAGTTCTCCCATCACTTTTTTTTCCTTTATTAAAAATAAAATAAAATTTGAGCATGTGGTCTTTGTTTTAATTAGATGGAGTATACTATTTTATATCTTTTGAAAATTTTAAAAAGAAAACTTTAAAACAAGAAGAATGATTTTCAACTATTATACCTTTTGATTTCACAATATTTATTCAACGTGATTATTAT